GCACATCCAAGCAGGACCAACAGTGAGAATGGGAAAATGAGGCTCCACTGCCATACTAGACCCTGGGCCCAGGGCCTGTTAAGTGGACTCTCAGCTCCGGGATCTTTCCCTTTCCAAAAGGGAGCTGTTTGCTGACTTCAGTAAAGCTGTGTGTGTTGCTTTTTTCATATTTTGGTTTTCTGTCTCCTCAGTCCATCCTTTGCCTGTCTCATGAATGAACGTGCCTATTCCCATGATGGTCACCCCACCTGTTATAACATGGGTTCATCTGGCCTCCTACAGAAGTTTCTGAGCAGGACTCCTGTGATCCTCTTTAGATCTCCATCTACTCTCTAATTACAATTGGGTGAAATTCACCCTCACAATTCTCCAGACCCTAGTGAATAGCCAATACCTCTCACCTTTCTGGGATCTACCATATAAACTTAAATTTTGTGCGGTGTTTCCTTTATCCACCCCACATCCTACAGAACACTGCCACTCATTTCAGGGAATTCATCCTCACCCTTTTCCTCCATGGAGACATCTGAAATATTCCTGGATCAAGGGTAAACTTTTCCTAAAAGTTACAAAACACATCTTTACTACAGTGCCAAAGGCTGCCTACCTGCTCTTGGGACAATACTGACATCCTTGGACTCTGTACTGGGTCTGGGCATCTTAACTGCCTGATACCTACTGTCACACTCCTTACCTGCTAGATGAGAATCCCATTATTGGGTCACTTACAGCCATCTGACATCCTGCTATTCCTGATCCTGATACATAATCTTACAACCTTGCCCAAGAATCTATGATCTCTTCAGACACCACAACTGAACCCTCACGGAGGACTGTACATTTCACTGCTCTTACATCCTAACTGGGCTAGTGATGTCTACACAGCAATTCCATGAGAATGGACGCCAGTGCTGGAGAGATGGGCCAGTGGTTAAATACACATGGTGGTCTTTCAGTGGACCAAGGATCAGTTCCCAGCATACACATGGTGGCTAACACTCATCTGTACCTCTAGTTCCAGGGAATCTGATGTCATCTTTGGACCTCTATGGGCACCGAATGCACGTGGTGCATGTCCATACATGCAGAACTAACATTTATACACATAAAATAAATATGTTTTAATGGTCTGAATTAAGTCTTCCCCCTGGAACCTTATCCAACGGACCCCTTTCTTGTTGCACGTATGACCCATCAAAACACTTAGACAAATGTAACCACAAATTCAGCTTCCTGCGTCTCCTTACTCTTCACTTGAAAGCAGTCTGATCAGATGCTGGCCACACAAGCCAGGCTTCCACTTGTATTAAAGCCACAGGGTATAAGGAAATGTCTGTTACCACAGGGACTCTTCAATCACACATCTTCACTCTCCTGTTAACAAGACAAAAAAAAAATCCACTTCTATTGAACCCATTTCCAAGACAAAACACAAAACTCACAGGTGGTTTACTTTCAGCACATCTCATGCAATGCTAAATAAAATGTGAATTTGAGATCAAGGAAATGGCTCATTTGTAAAGTGTTCATCACATAATCATAAAGACAAGAAACCAGATTCCCAGTACTAAGTACAAAGCTGGTTACAGTGCACATGCCTCCAATCCCAGAGGTGAGGAGGTGCAGACTCCAGGATGCCTAGAGCATGCTGGGCTGCTAGTCTAAGAGAATTGGTGAACTCCTCATTCAGTGAGAGAGCCTGTCTCCGTAAAGAAGGTGGAGGGCGGCATCAAGGTGGCTCCATGGATAACAGCACTTGGCTGGAAAACCTGGAAAATTCAGTATAATCCACAAAACCACATACAGGTGGAAGGAGACAAATGAGTCCTCAAAGTTGTCCTGAAGCCTCCACACATGCGTCATGGCAAATGTGAGCCCTCCACACACATGATATTCTTGTGCATACAAGGTAGTAATAATTTTTCTAAATTCAGAAAATAAGGAGGAAAGTGATGAATGGAATCACTCAATTTCAACCTCTGGTCTCCAAAAACATGTGGACAACTTCACACATACCTCTATTCATATAAACACATACACATGCACAAACACACAATCTCAGATCAATCAACTCTGAGAATCTGCTTGTGCTGAACTATCACCCTAAAAAGAACATACCATTCTCAGAAAGCTCTTCACATTCCCTCCCAGCCCAATGAACAACAGAGTCCTCACAGATAAGAGAGAATTCAACTGGTAGTGAGAAATGGAAAAGCCTTCGCTCCACAACAATATTGCCCAGAGTGTGAACCCTTCTTTGCAGTGGTTTTGGTTCCCCATTTCTTTCCTATCTCAACTCACTGCTTTGTGGGAATGACTCCTTTTCTGCCTAGATGTGGTCACATGCCAGAACTGCCCAAGCCCCAACTTCCCATGGGAAAATCACTCCTCTGTCAGCTAACATGACCTACACATTCACCATGGCCTTCCTCACACCCAACATCTAAGTTTCCCTTAATAATAAGTAAGCCCTTTATGAGACCTCACCTAAGAGCTCTGCTCACCTGACACCATTTCTAAGGTACAGTGTGCATCATGTGCATGGGGACACAACAGTGGATGGACATAAACTGGCATCTTATGCTAAATCCTAACTTGTGAGCTGAGTTAGCTATAGAAGTATAACATTATCTCAGGGACCCACATTATCTCAGTCCCTTAAATGATCAACTGCATCCTGTTGCTGAAGGACTCAAAAAACATTGTGCCTCCCTTAATTATAACACTGAAGAGATGATAAGCAACAGTGGTCAGTCAGGAAAAGGACAGCTGACAATTCCTTTCAGAAATGAGGCTTATGAGGCGGGAGGTCTTTAGGTCCATGATCGGACCTAGAGGTGTGAGAAGAACATCAGGCACAAAATGGTACAATATACAGAAGAGGCCAAATGTGATGGGGCCTTAAGGAGAAGTAAAAGTTCTCTTTTAAAACTTGGAGAGGGGACTGGACATATGGTTCAGTGGTTATGAAGGTGTAGGGCTTGTACAGGTGGCCTGAGTTCCATTCCCACCATTCCGAAGTGGCCACTCTCTACAATATTTAACTCCAGTTCAAGGGGAATTGCCTGTATTCTGACTACCATGGACACATGCACTCATGTACACACACACACACACACACACACACACACACACACACACACACAAAATAAATAAAAAAATAAAATAAATAAATAAATGCAGTACATTTTTTTTTTTTTTTTTTTTTGAGAAAAGGTCCCCCTTAAGCC